TGTTAAGGTTTTGGCTGAGTGCAGTAACATGCCAGTCCCCTCTTCTTGTAATCCTGGGTAGCACCATCAGGGAGGTTGGGAAGCAGGGATGTGCGAGGAACGTGCTGCTCAGAAATGACAGCTGCACACAGGCAGTGGGAAAATAATAGCCACTTCTTCCATGCTTCAGACTCCATCCGCTGTGCCAAATATTTCAGGGTAAATAGGCACTCTCTCTATTCATAGAGAGCATCTATTAGGGAAGGAACACATTACAAATATCCAGTATGATTCAGTGGTACACAGAGTCAATTTATACCCGGTAGCGTAATTATACCTTTTTTTGGTGGTACCAAAGCACCGGGACCATTCGCTGCTGGGTACCAGGCACCCCGACGTGAGGGTCCTGATGGGGCCACCCCAAAAACACTGGCCTCCTGTCCCCTCTGCCGGGGGAGGGACGAGAGGCGAGCGGGGAGAACCGAGGAAGAGAAATAACGGATTCCCCCGGACGCCCCTGGCAACCGCCCCGCCGCCCCCCTCGCCCCTTCCCGCTGCCCGTCTAGGAATAACGCGCTGCCGGGGGTAGGACGGGACGGGGGGGACCCAAAACCGCTGGTTCCGGAGAGGACCCACACTTAAAAAACATCAGGATGAAAAACAAAAAGACGTGAAAGGGGTGTGCGTTGGAGGGGGGGAACAGACGGAGGAATGCGGGAGTCAGGGGTCAGGGCCGCTCCGGGGCGGCGGCGGCGGCGTGGGGCGGGGCGGGCGGCGCGGCGCGGCGCGCAGGAATGCGCGGAATGTCGCTGTTTGTCCGCGGCCCCATTCAGCCCATTGGCGAGGCTGAGCCGAAGACGTGTATAAAGGGGCGTCCTTGCCGGCACTGCGCAGCACTCACACAGCCGCTCTCCCACCGGACTCACAAGGAGCGGAGCAGAGCAGCGAAGCACCGAGTAGCAGCCTGCACAGCGCCTACCGCGACAGGCCCGTCCGCGCACCGCTGCTGAGAAGACCCGCCCGACGGGAAGCGCTCATCGCCTCGCCTCGCCTCGCCTCACCTCGATTCGGCTCATCTCACCTCACCGCCCCTCTCTGCCGGGCAACCCGACTCCGCTGCCTGCTTGCCGCCGCCGCTCTCAAGCCGCTGACCGCCGCGGGATGGCCTCCGCCAGCTTGGCCGTAGCCCTTCTCCTCTCCCTCCTCAGCCTGGTAAGTGCCGCGGCCCGCGGCGCCGCCGCCCCAGTTCCGGCCGGCTTGGTCCCGGCAGCGGTCCTGACGCCCCGCTTTCTCTTTCTCTCCCTCCCCGCCGCTGTCAGGAGGCGCAGAGCCAGGAGTGCAGCGGGCAGTGCCAGTGCGGCACAGGGCCCGGCCCCACCTGCCCCGCCGGAGTCTCTCTGGTGCTCGACGGCTGCGGCTGCTGCCGCGTCTGCGCCAAGCAGCTGGGTGAGCTCTGCACCGAGCGCGACCCCTGCGACCACCACAAGGGGCTCTTCTGCGACTTCGGCTCACCCGCCAACCGCAGGATCGGCGTCTGCACCGGTGAGTGAGCGGGGACGGGGCCAGCCGCGGGACAGAAACAGCCTCCCGCCGGGCTGGGGTCTAGCAAAGGGAGAAGCCGGGGAAACTTCTTCGCCTCACCCTCCGCCTCCTGCCCCTCGCAGCTCGGGACGGTGCCCCCTGCGTCTTCGGCGGTATGGTGTACCGGAGCGGGGAGTCCTTCCAGAGCAGCTGCAAGTACCAGTGCACCTGCTTGGACGGGGCGGTGGGCTGCGTGCCCCTCTGCAGCATGGACGTCCGCCTGCCCAGCCCCGACTGCCCCTACCCGCGCCGGGTGAAGCTCCCTGGAAAGTGCTGCGAGGAGTGGGTCTGCGACGAGACCAAAGAGCAGACTGCTGTGGGACCTGCACTTGCTGGTGAGTGGGGGTCCCTCAGTGGGTGGCAGCCTGGGGGGAAGAGATACCCTGCATGGAGGCTGAAGACAGTGGGATGGGTTGACACAGGGCACCCAGGCAGCTGGAGTGCTGCAGTAAGTGTGGATACTCAAATTTCCCAGGAAGGGGAAGAGAGCCTTCAGCAGGGCATGAGGTCAGATGATGGTCTCATTTTGGCTGTCTGTCTCCTGCAGCTTACAGACTGGAAGACACTTACGGTCCAGACCCGACAATGATGCGTGCCAACTGTCTGGTGCAGACCACGGAGTGGAGTGCTTGCTCCAAGACCTGTGGTATGGGCATCTCAACCAGGGTCACCAATGATAATGCCTTCTGCAGACTGGAGAAACAGAGTAGACTCTGCATGGTCAGACCTTGTGAAGCAGACTTGGAGGAGAACATCAAGGTAAATAATCTAATCTTTATGTATAACCTACAGGGATGCTTCCATCCACTAACTAAAAAACAGTGTCTTGCCAAAAACTGTGTAGTTAGTTTCAAGTAGTTTACCTTGAAATTTGAGTTGCATCCCAGTGATGAACAGTTTATAATTAAATGTCCTGAATTTTCCTTTCGTGCTGTGTTATGGTACTAAGACACTTGCCTAGTGAAGATGTAAAGGGTTAGTGTGCCTGCTGCCCTTAGCTTGCAAACTTAGTGCTGTGTGAAAGCCTACCTTCTAAACACTTTGTATTCACTTATACCCTAACAGAAAGGCAAAAAGTGCATTCGCACCCCCAAAATCTCCAAGCCTGTCAAGTTTGAGCTGTCCGGCTGCACCAGCGTGAAGACCTACAGAGCTAAGTTCTGTGGTGTCTGCACTGACGGGCGCTGCTGCACACCCCACAGAACCACCACCCTCCCCGTGGAGTTCAAGTGCCCTGATGGGGAGATCATGAAAAGGAAAATGATGTTCATCAAGACCTGCGCGTGCCACTACAACTGCCCCGGAGACAATGACATCTTTGAGTCTCTGTACTACAGGAAGATGTATGGAGACATGGCATAAAGCCAGAAGGAGAAGCTAACTAAATTCCCGACTTGAACTGATCTGCATCTCAATTTGTAAACATGATTCAATAGCACAAGGTATTTAAATCAGTTTTTTTTTTTTTTAATGTCAACAAACTGTTCCATGTGACTTAAGACAATTTTTCTACTGACCCCAAATGGCGGTTTGAAGAAGAAGGTAAAACAGATGGACAGTGAGACCACAGCAAGACACAGCTTCATAACACGTTGTTCATGAGGTGATGTGAAGGGTGTAAGGGAAATAGGCAGGAAAAGCAGATTCAGGCAAATGTTCCCTTAATGTGGTACAGCGTGCTTCATGTAGTAGTGCAATTCAGAAGGAGTCTGTTAGCATGTTTGCTGGTGTTGGCTTAGTAACAGCAACAGCTGGAAGGCAAACTTTCACGCAGCAAAGTGCTAAGTAGAAGGTGTTCTGTTAGGACAGTAATGTTTCAGCTCTGACGCTCTGATTCATATGGCTTGGTCAACAAGAATCAGAATCATGTCTGTTAGACTGGACAGCTTGTGGCAGTTAATTTACCTGTAACAAGCTACTTTTTATTAATATTGTAAATACTGTGTGTATATATATATTTGTACAGTTATCTAAATTAATTTAAAGTTTTGTGCCTTTGTTTAATGCTTTGAAATTTCAATGATAGCCTTCTTTTTTGGAACAAGATAGGTAGGATTTAAAGCTTGTTTGACAATGCATTCAAAGCATGAAATACATACTCTAGTGGAAATTGTTCAGATAGGGCCAAATGGCGAGTTGAGAACAAGATGGAGATTGTTAGAGTTGAGGTGCCCGCATCCTTACAAAGCAATCATCTGGCAAAATACATGTACTTCTACTTTATTGGACAAGTAGCTTTAAGAAAAAAGGCTCTTCTGTAGCTCATCAGTCTTTCCACTCGAGCATTTGTTTCTTTCTTTGACAATGGCTCTTTTTGGACAGTTTATTTGTTGAGAAGTGTGACCAAAAGTTACATGTTTGCACCTTTTTAGTTGAAAATAAAGTATTTATATTTTTTATATAAATGGCTTTGTATTTCATTTACCTTTAGTCTTCGCTACTGTTTTACATATCCCTAAAACGGCTTGGCTTTGCACTAGATGAAAATCAAGTAATGCATTGTGAGGGTTTTTGTCAAGAAGCACACACACTTGCCACTAAGCTAATGATTTATGGTTACTTATTTTGTTACTAGTGAACCAACTGTAGTTTGCTACTCTTCGGAATGGAGGGCAGGGCCAGGCTTGCTTTGGCAAGCCCAGTGTTGCATTAGAAAGTGCAGCAGGTTCCAATTGCATCACTTGTGGTGGCTTTAAAATGAGTCAGCTGGTCACCATAGCATTCAGCTCCTGCTGTAACACACCATGCAACATGCTTAATTTCACTGACATGTTCCAGTGGTTAAATTTTGTTTCCAACTAAGGTGAGAAACATTTTTAAAGTGTCTGCAGGGAAGTGGCTCCTGACTCTGAAGTCAAATCCAGAAGCCCAAAATCTGGTAAAATTCTCAGTGAAGAGCTAATGACTTGTATCATAAAAATCACAGAATGATACAGATTGGAAATGGCCTCTTAAGATCTCATGATTTAATGTTCATGCAGAGTAGGGCTAACTTAGATATGGTTTTCCTTGAATCAAAACCTTAGTATAGTATGGTGGACAGAGCACTGAACTCAGATGGCAAATACCTTCCTACTTGGTCACTAGGAACAAATCATTTTACATGACAGTTCTGTGTAACGCATCCATTGATTCAAACTCTTCCAGGCCCACAGATGAGAAGTACTGTAAGAGCTACACATTTTGATAACAGTCCAAACATTCTTCTCAGATAACCAAAAAACAGTATAAGGACAGTTGTGATTCACTTACCTCATCCCCCTAAAGCTAAAAGGAAAGCTTCAGTCCTGTGCTAGGTCCTACATTAATAACAGACTTTTTTTGGTCCCTTTATCAAGACAAGGGAATTCTTTGAATTTAAAATTAACCTTTGCACTAGAAGAATTAGTTCTTGTTTTCAAAAAAAAAAAAAAAAAACAACTCTCCAACAAGAATCCTTTTCAGCAAAACAAGTTCAATCTGGAATTTCCTGGTGATGAAAGAGTGTTAGCTTACAAAAATGTCCATCCTTCCTGAGCACCTTCCAATCCCATTGATTTCAGCTAGCATAACAGCTAGCATTTCAGCATAACACCAGCTTTGACTAATGATGGACAACAGAGCCCTAAACTAACGGGAAGTCAATGGGAGCCTTGCCAGTGGCCTCACCAGGCTTTGCACAAGGCCATAGAAGTATTTCCCCTTCCTCTAAATAATACAAGGAATTTTCCTGGCATGAGGAAGTGGCTTTCTGTGTTCCATATTAAATAATAGTTTTGGGCAGCCTTTGGCTCTTACGCTCCCTGAGCCTCTCCAGCATTTTTCTCTATTTTGTTTTTTTTTTGTTTGGGTTTTCTTTCAGGTTATGAATATGATGTGGCCATGCAGTTCACCTTGGAAACACTTCAAACACTCCTACAGCCCCAAGGACTGGTTTTCCAACCACTGCTGTGGCTCCACCCCCAAATAACAAGAACACTGTCATTTCTAGTTCCAGCAAGGACAGGATGTACATGGACTCCAGTCATAGCCATCACTGTAGAAGCTATCAGGATCAGAAGAACAGAAGGTAGCATAATATACCTGGCAGGTTGGGATTAATGCCTTTAAGAGACGTGGTGTTTATGATGCTGCTCAAGCCCATTTATTAACAGAACTGCTCTGCATTCTTTTACAAATTTATATCAGACATTATAATGAATGACCATTCCTTATCCTTATAACATCAACATCTTGAGCCTCATGACTGGCTCATGAGATTCACCCAGGTTCTGCACCCAGTCCTCTGCAGCATGGCCTGCATCTCAGACACCTAAGCTGCACGGGGCTCTGGCCAATCTGGGCACTGTCCACCAGCTATGCCTATGGTACAAGGCTGCAGGGCCAGAAAGCAGCAGCAGTGGTCTGGTTTAGGAAGGGCCATCTGCATTTAGATACCCACAAAGGGTTTCCCCCACTACAGCTCAGGACCACGACCTACCCTCTGCCTGGTAATGCAGTGATGCAGCTGCTTTGCCTGCCATCTGACAAATTACCACACTGCTTCACAGCCCAGGGGAGAGGGACAGAAGAGGCCTCCTGTCACAATGTTTCAATGGTGGTTTGCTTCTATCACTGTGAATTATAATAAGGAAGTATGTTGCATATGCAGATCAGTTTAGTAAGTTGTTGCTCTCCTCGATCACTTCGAGGATCATAAACCTCAGCATTATAATGATTTGCACTCACTGTTTTTTCTCCCAGGAACACGTGTATTCTTCTGACAGAAGCATGCATTTTACACCGCTCCTCAGGTGTTAGACCTCTGAAGGTAAAGAAATTTAAATACTTTGTTGTTAAGTTCTCCTATAAGTGTAAATAGGCCTCATACTGTTTGTAAGACTTTCAAAGGCATCTTGGGAAGAAGGAGCCCTTGTGTAGAATTCATGCCATCTTAAATGATGGTTAAAATGTGAGCCTTTCAACTGTAAAGGTATTTCCTGATTTCATTCTTTGTGCCTAAGATGCATAGATGCAAGAATCAAAACTTGTGTTCAGCAGTCCAAAGTCACCTACATGGGAGACAACATTGGTTCACATTGCTTCTAAAATACATTCTTTTGGAAGTTGCTTTCAGATATTTGCATCCTCATAAAATCCTATCGTGCAGTTTGCTACTGTACTTTTAAAGCATTTTATTAATATATGAAAGCATATTAATTCAAATGACTAGCTCCTTAAAATGGATCTTCAGCAAAACTAATGATACAGTTGGTAAGGGACCACTGTAAAGTCAGTAATCATTTAATACATGATACTCAATTAATCATTAAACAGGAATTCAAGGTGGCTGGAGACCAGAGTATCAAATAATTTGTGAAATAACTCTAAGTCATTGTATTTCAGATTTTTGTACCATAACACTTTTGCATGGATTTGCAGCTTAGCTTTCTAACACAATACAGATGTGAACAACAGACACGGATTACAGCCCTTTCATATGAAATAGGCTCTGCTCTCCAGATGGAAATTTGTCAGATTCCTCAGAGCTAAGAAACATCCAAAAGGCACTAGTTAAGAAACTCTTCAAGAATGAGCCACTTTTAATGATCCATAACCACAGAGGAACAAATAAGTCTTTGAACAGTATCCAGTTGTTTGTCTCACGAAGATGGGGACTCAGCTGAGAAAACTGACTTTTGGACATCACTAGAAATAGCATGCTCTTAACTAGATCATTTGTATTTTTTTTTCATGTAGCATGGCTTTTTCAGACATTGTGCTTGCAGAAAGTACTCGTACCATTGCACTGAGAAGGACATTAAATGCAAGAAGGAATGGTAATATTCTTACCTAAACATATAATAATTCAAACATTCTGACTTTGCATCCTACCACCAAAAACCTAAGTTCCTTAAAAACAGGGCTTAAATGTGGCTTTAACTGATGTTATACTATGCCTACATATGGAAGCAGTTAGCAAGAAATTGGGATGAAATACCAGTGGAAGGCTTTGCCCAAAACCCAAGAAGAATCCGAGAGAGGAAGTAGCTCAGTTAACTTATTTTTCCTCTCATTTTCCACTTTTTTTCCTCCCTGCAGTTCCTTTGATTCATGCCCATAAATGGACATACCAAAAGCCACCACATTCTCACAGTGTTTTTCAGCCTGCCTGGAACCAGGAAATACCAGGAATTTCTTCAAGGAACCTGTTCCCGAACTGTACTAAAGCCTTCAACACATTTAGCATTTGAACACAGTTTAGAAGCATGACTAAGGTCCCATCTCCACTGCATCATCCAGCATTGCTCCTGCAGAGAATGACTGCTTGCAGTCATTAACCCTAGCTCAGTCCATTTCAGTTCCTCTCAGTGCTAGTCCGAGCCCAGCCCCCCAGAATAGTGAATCTGGGATGATTCAGAGAAGTCCCCCCAGAAACCCCTGGCGGCATGTTGTAGAAGTATTCCTGAGCTCCTGTCTGTTACTGGGGCAGTGCCAAATGCAGGAGTATTTACGTTTGCTTAATGGTGAGTAAATCCAACCCTAATAGTAGTGTAATAGCGTTTATGCTGTGAGGAACAAAGCATTTTACAGCCTCCTGAGCAGGACCAAAAGGTTGCTAACACAGTACCGCAGTGTAAAAGCAATCCAGTGGTGCCTCCATTCATTACTCACCCCCATTAATTGGGCTGCTGAAAGAAATGCACAATCCAAAGAAATGTTTGGGGTTTTTAATTAGTCCTATTAAAAGCAGGTATTTAGCAGCTTTCAGCAGCTATGAAATATGTTTTCCTGCTCCTGCCCTAAATGCTAAGAACCAGCCAGTTTTCAGGACTTGGGTCAGCCTAGCTAATTGACATAACTGCAGTCACACTGGTTTAGACCACCTGTGGCCCCAAGTCCTGCGGCTGTACAGCATTAGGGGAACTGCACAAGGCTGTGTGCCTGGGAAGGCTTCCAAGAGGACACATCCTGGCTCCTGTGGCATTTGGTGGGCAATAAACAGTGGCAGGAGCACAAACTGCACAATAAAGTATTCTGTAAACAGCTAAAAATACAACCTACTAAGGAAGTGATAAGCCAGTGTAAATAGTAAATGAATGTGATAGACAAGGATACAAAATAGACCTGAAATACTGTTCAGGCTTTAGCCAATATAACATCTGGGAAGGTATTAGATATAATCTTATACACTGTGATACAGTATGGTGTTAATTATGCTTTCTTAATTACATATTTCTTAAATTGTACAACTAAAAAGTCTATTCTTAACCAAAGAAGACATTTGATGTCTTCTGATGAGAGACCATCTCATTGTGGACTTTGTAATTTGACACAACACCATGCTCTAAAGGGACTCACTTTGTCCTAACTCTCAGGTGCATCACATGCACAGAGCCATTTGCTGATCCAAGAATGGGTATGGTCCAGCTGACATCTGTAACAGCACCCTGCTATCACACAGCTACAGCCCCAGGTGGAGACCCTGGCAGGAGAGTGTTGTGGTTTATGATGGAATTTTTCTGGGAAGGAAAAGAACTCTGTTCCAGCTGAAACCAGGACAGAGGACTGGTAAAACGACACAAAACAGATCAGCTAAACAAATGAACCACTCTGGTGCTCAGCATCATAGCCAACAAGAGCAAGACAGAAAGATAATACTGTGCAAAATTTGCACCTTCTTAACTGTGAATCCAGAGTAAGAGAGTATCTGAAAAAAAGCAGATTAGTTAAGGACAACTACACCATGTAATGCAAAAGTAAAAAGCACACAGGTAATAAAAGCACATGCTCTTGCTGAGAAAAAATTTTCAGAAATTTCCAATTTCTGCCACCCTAATTTAGCCTTTTCCATTTATACATATTGTTCTAATTGTATACATATTCCATATATACATGTACTAATTGTAGGTTTGTTCGGAGGTCAAAAAGTCTCAGTAAGATAATCAAGCTTCTGAAATCTAACATGGTTGGAGTTAATGAAGAAGGCCAGCTCATCTTGTCTCAGGAACTGCCCTGAGTGCCTCTCAATGGGTTTTCCCATCAGCATTATAGCTGTAGTTGCCCACCTGAGGGAAATCTGCTCAACAGGTTTTTCTTCTGCCTGTGACTCCAAAGATTTTTTATAAGATGGCATAGGAATGAAATGTTTCTTTTCTTCCAGCTACAGGTCCACAGCCAATAAGTAGCCACTTTAGAAAGCACTACATAGATCAGAACATGCTCCTGACAGTGATCCCAAATGGATCTCAGCATGGCTTATGCCTACAAGAGGCCACCAGGAACCAGCATTGCAAGGAAAGGCAACATTTGGCTTTGCTTGCTGCATTACAGGCCTAGTGCTGATGCTCATCCTTATGTTCTGTAGCACTAATGGGTAGCATTGTGGAAGTGCCGTTTTGTTTTACAGTTATTTGACTAGATACCCAATGAAATGCTGTTAGAGAAGCATTGGCAATGTTACCTGCCTTTCCTTAACAGCCACAGTACCTGACTTTTAGAGCTTGTCAACATGGAATTTTCAGTTCTGGCTTTTCTGACTTCTGCAAAGCTTGGAAGTACAGCCAGCCTGTAGAATGCAAGGACTCTCTGGATAAAAACTTGCTTTCTGAATGAAGAACTAATAGACTTTTTACATGCAGAAATTAAGACTCCTCTATCCTTAAGAGTGCTTTAATTTCATAAAGCAGATAAGAGGCTATTTATGTAATGTTTTCTTTGGCTCCTGAATGGCATTCTCCACAGCCCTTATCACAAAACAATTTAGAAACTGTATATTTGCTAGCAACCACAGAGCCATATGTAATGCCCCTCTCAACTAAAATCAGAGCAAAACAAGCAAACATAATGCTGGCTGATAAAATCTCATTGTGCTGTACAGTGACTGCTGACTATGAGAGGCAGCATGTTCTCGTTCCAAATAGTTAACAGTTTCGACTAAGATGTCTCAAAGATTATTTATTAGACTTACTCTAAACCAGTCTTTCTTTTGTGTGTGTGTACTCTGCATATTCACACCAGGGCAACTTGTGGGGTGGTAGGAAACAGCCTGTCCTTTAGTCAGAAAGTGAAGAACTGTCCATTGCCACCTGTATTTTGTCTATCTCCTTCTTCAAAACAAGGAGGAAGGAAAAGTCAGTCTGTCATTTTATTTCATGAGTGCATTTAGGTAAAAACTGCCTTTTTGATGAGGCAGTTTTGGAGTGTATAATTTAATTTACATGATGCTCTTGATGGTGTAGGAAGTATGGCAATGTAGTCTAGTAATAAACCTAGATAGTACTTAATACACCACCTGAACAAGCATCAGGCTAGCAGCTCCTGAAACAGCAAATACATCCTGTGCTGGGTACTGCGTAGGCCGTGTCGGGACCCGGCTGCCATCGGGCTGTGCTGCAGAGGGCTGCCAGACCTAGCGCCGGGTCTCAGCGATGATGATGACGCTCTTTCTCTGCATCACACTGACACCGTGTGGCTCCTCTGCAGCAAAAGCAGCAGCCTTGTGCTCCAGGTACAAAAACTTCCCCTCTGTGTAAATAAAGGTAAGGAAGGTCATTATGCTTGTTTTGGCTGTAGGTGTTTAGTTTCTCACTTGAAATAATTCATGATATTTTGTTAAGAAGGATGGTGTGAGCTAAACATATTGTTTGGAATATAGGGAATAGTTCTTATTTTCTCAGAAAGTATTAAAATAATAGCTACACAGGTCTGTCTGAGCACCATGCATTACTTAGACATATGCTTATACATTTTGCACATCATTGCTACCTATATTAAAGATACAGAAAAAAAAAAACCACCCATGCATGCAGTTGAGACTCCTCTGGAACCAGCTACAAGTCACAGGATGAGGTCTCACTGATCCCCTTCATCTCCTGCTTTGGGCTGTTGCTATTCTTTGAACTGGCAGCAAGCAGCAGAAGAGGAGCCCATTGCAGACCCTCCCTCAGCAGCCTCTGACTTCCCAATGGCACCCATCCTGAAGGAACAGATCACAATAATACGTCACAATGTATCGCAACAATTGCCACCAACAGGTACTTGGAAAAATCATCCAAAAGAGATGTTTGTTTATTAGAGGCAATAATAAAGAGTATATTTTAAATGTCTTGGGTTTCACCTTGCGTGCTTCTTGAAAACTAATCTACCCTCCAAGGTTCAAGTTTTGGGATGAGCAGAGCTTTCTTCTCCTCCTTAGGTGGTTACAGATTCACATGTAGGCGTCA